CTCATTGATCAGGAACTCATGGAAAAGATGAATATGGCTAGATAGTGAGCCTGAGAGCTCAAGAGATCATTATTGGTTTTTTCCAAGTGGGATAGCAAGTGCATGCCAGATACCTTGTGATTATTATTAGTTTTTAGATAAACTCAAAATAAAATTCTGGTTTCCTATTGACATTGTTTCATACGTACATCAAACAAAATAAGAGGCAAATGAATAAACAACAACTTCCTATAAAAATAAAAGGTTGTGAGGGAAACTCTTATCTTTGTCCATTTCTCACATTTCACACACCTGATTACTTATAATATAGTTAGGTACATACACATAGAAAAGCTGCTGACGTGCTTGGAATAAGGTTGGTTCTTTTTTCATGCTGGAGTTTGATTTCTTGGCAAAGTTTATTATTTTCTTCTTTGGGATTCTAATGATCATGGTCACATCACAAGCAGAATTATATATATACAAACATAAAATGTAAGTAAAAATAAAAAAAAAACTAATTGATTTTCCTGTTAAGTAATTTTAAAGAAAAAAACAATGTCATGAAAGTTTGGGTTCTTATTCCTTCCCATTTAAACCATATTTAGCATTACTAAATGAAAATATGCCTGATTTACACAAGGGTCAATTGTTCAGCTATTAAGAAAAATAAAATTTGCTGGTAAATGGATGAAGCTAAAAACAAAATCCTGTATGTAATAACCCAGGCACCCAAAGACAAGTATTGCATGATTTTTATTATTTTCTTTTAAGCATTTGGAATGTGTGCTACAATCCAAATAGTCACAGAGGTTGTGTAATTAGTAAGGGACTGAGGATGGAGGGTGGGAGAATATTTCCCAAAGAATAGATGATAGAATCTAGTGGTATGAAGAGATAAAGGAGAGAAGAGAAGAGGAGGATCAAATAGGGAAAGAGATGGGGGAAAGAGGTAAAGGAAGAAATGTAGTGAGGGACAACTACCATAAAGGTCTTTTGGAAAAAAAATATGGAAACCCCTGCTATAGGAGTTTTCTAAAATACATACATATATGAAAGGTATTTAAATGGATTCAACAAATAATAAGGGAAACAATGTTTCAACTCGACATCTTCTGTCACCAAGTAACAACATCAGTCATTGTTGAACCATTGGCCAAAAAAAGATGCACAGAACTTTCCAAATATCACAAGCTATTTCTAAGTCTACTGATTGCTTTCCCCAACCTCATGGTAAGGTCTTCCCATTGAAGACAATACTTATTTATGTCACCCACCACAGAGAAAACAAGCTAGTGTCTAACTAGAAGCTTCACCCTCACTGCTTAGTACTCACTGTGTTGGAGAGTATGCTGAGTCCTACTAAAGGAGATATATGATCATCAGTATCTCTCAAGTATAAATCTTGCAGCCCGCCTGCAATATTTACTGGTGTCATTGTGGCACAAATACTATGGGACGGAACAACAACTTTTTCATTGGATTTAAGGCCCACTCCATGAGACAGAACCCATGTTTGACATTGATGCAGTGACCAGGGACCTAAGTCTAGGTAAGTCATGAGCCTAAGAGAAAACCTACCAATATTTTTCTGCTAATGGAAGACAACAACAAAATGACTCCTAAGGACATATCCTCAGTAACTATATGAACCCACATCAGAGAAATTTCTTGTGGTAGATAGAAATCAAAACAGAGACCCATACCTGGACCATGGCAGAGAGTGATAGACTTTGGGGTACTTGGAATTAAAAGGGGCTTCATCAAACTCTTCTGCCTCATTAAGGGTTAGGGATCTATGTAGAAGAGGAAGTATAAAAATTATAAAGCCTTAGAAGGTAGATGACTCCAAGAAAACTGTTTCTTCCTGATATAAAAACTAGTACACAGAGCCTGTGACAAGTACAAGCCCTGTCCAGGTTCAAGACAGATGGGATCCCAGCACTGAGATGAGGAAGTAGACGTGGTTTCCCACCACTAGCCAAGAAGTTATTTGGAGTTGACGTCTAATGACAAAGAGGTAATCACTTCTTTTCAGTGGAGCTTCACTGGGAATATCAGCTACAGTTAGTTCATAACAGGTCCTAGACCAAGAGCAGTTAGTCAACACACGGCAAAATCAGTGTTCTAGTTCATGTCCTTTTTGTTTGGTTTGTTTTGGCATTATCTGTTTTACTGGTCTTTTGTCTATTTGTATGTTGTGAGTTTCATTTACATGTTTTCTGGTGGGGGGGGGAGGTTGGTTTTGTTTTGTTTTAGTTTGTTTTTGAGGGAGAGAACATAATGTTGACTGGGTAGTAGGAGGTGTAGAAAAGATGAAAGAAGCTGGAAGAATGGAAAGAATATAATTAGAGAAAATTATATAAAATTTATTAAAAAATAAATATGATTTCATGCACAACACACACACATACATGAATGCACATATGAATGTTATGGTAACCAGTGCCAGAGAAAAAGCCAGTTTAATGCCAGGAGACTGGAAGGGGACCTGACCTGAGCATAATCTGCAGCTTTGTTAGGAACAGATTCCCCACAAGTCACTCAAGGAACACTGTCTAGCAGTGTCCACCACCTTAGAAAATACAATTTGTAATCTTATGAGATTATGGGAATGTGGATCATTGTTTCCCTTGAAATTTTGTGCATTGGCTCAATGAGCCATTCAAAACAAAATCACTAAAGTACAGTAAATAAGCAACTTGAACTAGAAGCCTCTGAGACCAGTCTCATCAACTACAGCTCACCGCTTCCTAATACATAACTAGTTTGAAATTCAGGTAATTTGAAAAGAAAAAAAATAAGCACTGCCTTGTTTCTTTTGTTTTGTTTTGCTTTTCTCTTTCTTTCCATAATACACCATGGCATGAACTGTCTGCTGCAAACAACACTAACGGATTCTCACAGGAGTGTCCTAACAAGCCCAAGTGAGCTGTATCTAGAGCGAACGATGCTATTTGATTGGACTCATTCAAAGAATTCAAAGAATACAAGCACTCCTTTCATGAATTGGATTGGGAATATTTTAGGCTGTCTTGAGTGTTTGCCGTGAGCAAGCTTCATCTCAGTGGCATTAGCTGAAGGTCAGACACCATGCTATCTTCAAGAAGTGAGTGTGCACCCACCATTTTCACAGATTGTGGTGTGTTTTACAAGGCATCGAGGACAAGAACCTTAGGATATTAGAATTTATGTGAAGCACAAATGAAAGGAGTTAAAATAAAAAAAATATGCCTAAACAAAATAGTTCAAATTAGGCAACTCTCCAAATTCTACACCATCTTGTGTTGACCTGGACATTTATGAGGTTCAGAACTGTTCTGTCTGTTGCTATCACACTGCTACTTAGCATGGCGTCTGGCCAGTGGTAAGTCTGAAATAAATATGCCTCTCTAACTGTCACTCCTCATTGAGGCAAGCTGTTCTTCTTATCATCACTAAATGGCCCCCAGGTTGGAACCACATCCAACAGTAATTGCCTTAGGAGGTCTGGTTGAAAGCTAATGGGTAACAGTTTTTTCCCACTATTCTTACCAGTTCTGTGAGAAATTCTACCACCTTATGGTTCTAAAAAAGATGAAGAGTAAAGTTGCAAGTTTTTTTAAGAATATATAGTGTTATTTTTTCGGGTAATGGCTATTCAACTTATCTGTAAGCATCGCCACCTAGTCCAGCCACATCTAACGGTATTTTGATACATGTACAACAGCAGCAACTCTCTCTGGGCATTTTATTGGCTTCTCTTAACCACAGGACAGGATGAAAATATTTACTAATATACAAGCCATAAATTTATAAATAAATACATAAAAAGGTTATACAGTCTTTCACATTGTAGCTAATGAGTGTTATCAAAAGGCTAGAAAGTCCTGGAAGCTTCACCAAACCTGGGATTAACTAATGAACCAATCACAACTTTTTAAGTCCTGGAATGATTAACTTTACTCTTTGTATATAAAATAAAACCATTTATCTTGTAAACTTTGATAATGAGCTGACATAAGAAACTGTGAAGAGATTTCTGCTTTTTGGTAACAGACATGTTATTCAGAATGCCCCTTTCTCACCAAAATAATTTAAACAACTATGTGAAACAATTCAAAAATTTTCTTAAATAAAACTGTACCGTGATGCAGTAGTAATGAATCACTAGAATTAACAACGAAAGGACATTGTGGAATTTGTTGTTTTCTATGTTCAATCTATTTTCACTTGGATGGTACTTGCTGATCCTAAAAAAGCCCTCAGATTTGTTTGGAGAACTTTGCAAGAACTAAAATCAATCTTTATGCTAGTAACACTATGTTCTAATAAGAGAAAGTGACCAAAGTCCCCAGGCTAAGCCCTCATGCTGAGATATAAGGCGCTAACATTCAGGAGGCAATCTTTAGGCTTGGATTTAAGTGTTCCCAATTTGTGGTAACCCACAATACATGGCAAACACAAACAAAAGCCCCTGTCAGCATTCTTCTAGTGATTTAATGAGTACTGTTTTCATACAGACTGACCAAATACAGAACAATTAGGCCTTCCTGGCAGCATGGATGAAAATGAGCAAGCTCAAACAACAGACACTTATCTATAAGGTGTTAGATACTTCCATTTTGTGTTCAAAAATTAAAAACGGTTGCTTTGATGTTAAATAAAATGAAACTTAAACAATATGATCTGTGGAAAATTACACAGTAGAGTTGTATGGCAATAGTGGATCTTAAAGAAGAAAGGAACGTTATAATAATCAAAATTAAGAGTTCAGTTTAAAAAACACATAAAGGTAAATATATATCTCTGAGAATTGGTGACCAGACAGCATAAATAAACATAAGGCTGAAAAAATATGGGTGTATATAAAAAGCATAAAAGCTACTTTGAAATGTTTGATATAATATGAATCAGAGTCCAAGAAAAAAATAGGAAACAGGAAATGTCTATTATTTGAGGTAATGAAATGTCCATAGCTACATATTGAGAGTATGAATGAATAAAAACACTTTAGATGCATCATAATTAGTCTGCAGAAACCAAAGGGAAGGATCACTGTTAAAACAACCTGAAAAAAAAATGGCAGATAGCTTTGAGAAAATAACACCAGAAGGAAAGTGCAATAATGAATTATTATCTCCACGAAATAGCAAGAAAGGATCTCAAATTGTTTAAGTTTATACCAAGTCAAGACATCCTTTAAGGATGACACTTAAGCATTGCTTTTTAACAAAAAGTGAGAGAATTTACCGTTTGAAAAACAAAAATAGAAAAGATTTGAAGAAGACTGAAAATGTAAACTCACAAGAGAGAAATGACATGCTACAAGGACCATGGGAGAGGAAACTGTCAAAATGGGAACAAAAGCATTAGGGCAAAACACAAAAATGATGTGTTTTGAGATTTTTAATTGTTTATGTCCTTGAGGTTTTTTTATAAATCAATTTTATAACAAAGCTATTGTAATATAATTTCAAATAAGTTGGAAATATGTAGATAAGTTATATCAAAATCTTGATAGCAGATTCTAGTAATTTTCAGGGAAATAAAGCATCTAGTAAATATCTTTTTAAAAAAAAAATTCGACACAGGTTTTCTCTGTAGCTTTGGAGACTGTTTTGGAACTCTTTGTAGACCAGGCTGGCCTTGAACTCACTTAGATATACCAATCTTTACCTCTCAAGTGCTGGGATTAAAGGCCTGTGTTACCACCACCCAGCTGATAACTATCTTTTAACTAAGCAACTGAATAAAAACTTCCAGGACAAGTAAAAGAAGTAAATACAGGGATCAGTGACACGGCTTACTGGATAAAGATACTTTCCATCAAGATCTCAATTCAATCCTGAAACCTACATGGTGGGAGAAGACGATCGATTCCCAAAAGGTATCCTTTGGCCGTTGCCTTGCACAGATGTATGTATACAAACAGAAGCACAAACCCACACAATTAACAAATGCCAATTTACCAAACACCAATGTGGATTATCTCATAGGAAGAGAGAGAGTTTTATAGTCTAGAACACAACCTAAACATGAATTTATTATCAAGTGCTGACCCTCTTTATGTTATGTCCCTGGCTAAAATTTTATTTATTTATTTTTTCCAGATGGACAATTTAGCAGGGAAAAGAGTAGAAAGATATTAATCTTTACAGAAAGGGAGAAAGTAAAATTCTACTGCATTTGGGAATTATATAATAAACACTGAAAATGCTCAGTCAAATACTGTTTCCTCTGGCATCTGTGGTCTAGAATTTCCATCTGAACCCTTGATTTCAGTCCTCAAGAGTAAACATAGTGGGTTTGTGTTATGCAGACTAAGTACAAGAAACTATCAATAAACATTTCTGATGTGTTGAAATTTTATCAGGTTACACTGAGAATATTTTAATTTAATGCATTACACATTAAGATACTTCCTAATATTACTTCTTTCTAATCTTTCTAATTATTTCCCTTTAGGCAGAATTGCTAACACCATCAATTAGATCAAATTCAGTGGAAACAGTTTAAATTATATGAGTTTCAATTGAAATAAAAATATTTTGACGTTTAAGTGCCTGACCTTTAAGAAATCCTGTACAGTATAAATGAAAAAAAAAACAAAAAGAACATTTTGTTGCTAAAATAAACCACATTGGAGGATTTGGATTTGCATGGACAGCAGAAGAGTGGGCGGTCTTAGTAACCACCAAACCTACATCTGTATAAAGTGAAAGGAAAGACAGCAAACAGGCTAACAGCCCCTTTGGGTAAAACCACATCTGTGACTATTACAACTCCATGTTAAACTGCTATTCATGTCTTTTCACTTTCTCCTAAGCCAAATCAAATAGTCATTTAAAACCAAGTTACACAAACCACGTCAAGTAAGCCACAGAATCAGAACTATAACTTTCATTTCCAGAATGGGCCATGGAGTGGGGGTGGAGGTGGGATAGGCTTTCTAATTATATTAAACCTAGATAATGTTTAATAATCTTTTCAATTTCATGCATCAAAGTTAGAATTTTTTTCTTTTTGCCTAGTGTTTCTGACAGTGGGTATAAGGTTTGCATACAATTAATTGCTTTATACTAACATTGCTCTGTTTGAGTTCCTTCTGTACATTATACTGGAAATGTCAACTCTATGCTGTCTTAGATAGGGTTACTATTGCTGTGATGAAACATCATAACCAAATCAGCTTCACGGGTATTAAAGGGTTTGCTTGACTTATTATGCTTCCACAGGACAGTTTGTCATCAAAGGAAGGTAGGCCAAGTGGAGTCTAGAATGTCAGTGAGCTTCAAAAACCACTCATAAAAGATGTGATCCTTTTGTTTATAGCAGTATTAGAATTTGTTTTACTCTTCTGCTATCAGAGATGCTTAACTTACTTCTCTTGTTTTGCTCACCCTGGTTTACCTAGATACAGTTTCAGACAGTCTTTACTATTTCCTGTATGCTCCACCCAGGGGTTCTTATAAAAAGTCCTAGAAAGTCTATTTTTATTTTTTATTTAATTGAAATGCATGTAGATGACATAGACCAATATCTTTCTGTTTATTATCTTTAATCTTGATGGAAATATTTAAAAATTTTAAAACATATATTACAGGGTAAGAGCAAAATATTTTAAAAATCCTAAAAAATTCAATTGTAGTCAGTGTTTCCATTTGTCACATACCAGTGTCTGTCTTTGTAAATTCTTACATGCATTATCATTGAAGAATAAAGAATAATTGAATTGAACTATACCTATTGTTAAAAAAACAGATTAAGCATTCTGAAATATCTCCAGCTACATAAGAAAAAAACAAAAACAAGAAATATTGGAAGAAAGTAATAAATATCCATTTAAATACACATAAGATGTCCTAAAGACCTGGGCAACATTTGGGGAGGGTGGATTTTTAAACTGAGAGATAAATGAAAATAAAATGCATCAGTCCTGTAGGAGGCCTGCAACCTCCAACAACATAACCCTGGTGCTCAAACAGCTGACTCCAAAAACATAGACTGAAAATAAGAAACTCACCTATTAGTATAACATTGCCTTCATAGAATTCCTCCAGCCTTGTGGATACAATTTAATTATGTATATATGAAATCAACCACCACTAAAGTCAGCCCACAGGGGACAGAGAATGCTTGAAACTATCTTCGATGGCCAAGTTAGTAAATAATATTACATGTATGTTTTGGAATGTGTTATCTGTATATGTGCATATGTGTGGGTTTGTTTGCCCAGAAGTATGTGGGTAAAGAATAGGGGCCAATGTCATGTGTCTTTATCAAGTCTAAGCTATTATTTTTTAATTTATTTATTTATTATGTATACAATGTTCTGCCTGCACGTTAGCCTACCCGCCAGAAAAAGGCACCAGATCTCATAGATGGTTGTGAGCTACCATGAGGTTGCTGGGAATTGAACTCAGGACCTCTGGAAGAGCAGCCAGTGGTCGTAACCTCTGAGCCATCTCTCCAGCCCCTCTAAGCTATTTTTTAAAACAAAATTCTTTATTGATTCTTTGGAATTTCACATCACGCACCCAAATCCCATTCAAGTACCAGTCCCTCTATATCTGCCCCTCACCCCTGAAGCACTGCTTCAAATTAATTCAAGACAAAACAAACAAACAAAAAACACTTGCTCCTCATTCTTTCTAACACATCTTTATTCATCCTAGGACTGGGGGCTGCCATGTGTTACAGCAATATACCCTTTTAGCCAGTCAGTCCTGCCCACAAAATAGTCATTGCAATGAGTTATGGTGGTGTAGGAGGTCCTTCTGTCTTTGCATTGCTTTCATTGGTTAATAAAGAAACTGCCTTGACCTGATAGGGCAGAACTCAGGTAAGCGGAAAAGACAGAACTGAATTCTGGGAGGAGAGAGAGCCGCCATGGATCCACCAGATACAGATGCTGGGAATTCCACCTGGTAAGCCACTGCCATGTGGCGATATACAGATTAATAGAAATGAGTTAAATTAAAATGTAAGAATTAGCCATTGAGAAACTAGAGCTAATGGGCCAAGCAGTGATTTAATTAATAAATTTTCTGTGTAGTTTTTTTTTTTTTTTTTTGGCGGGGGTGGGGGTGTAAGCTAGCTAGGCAGCCAGGAACTGGGCAGCAGGAAGAACAAGCAGCCCCCTCCTTGTAACATAATGGGTCTGATTCAAGCCCCCTCAGGGTTCATCAAAACTGGATGCCCTCTGATATTCTTCTTGAATATCCTGCTGTTGCCCAGAGTCATGGAGATACTGTGGTTATTGTTCCATAGGACCAGTCCCTTTATGCATTCCAGTAAATCATAGATAAGTTGATGTTAGGGTGGCCCAACTTAAGGCCCAAGTTGTAGGTCTGGGTAGTAGCTGGGCTGTCCTTTCTGGGCCACTGGAACCACCATCTCAAGGGAGGGACAAACCAAGCTCTCCTAGACCCATGCCAATAGGGCCAGCTCTCTCATTTCAGTGGCTGGGTGCATTTCTCCTGAGTGCAGGGGAGAGGATTTATTGTTAAAAACAGAGTTGATCTCATTGACATTAGAGTTCTTTCCTTGAGACAGACTTCAAAGCTAGCGTGCTCCCAAGATCTGCCCTTACTGCACTCATCCACAATATTGAGTTATAATTGTACGTCTTCTTGCCTGACTTTTGTGTGTTTGACCAGGGTCTGAATTCATGTTCTTATGAGTGCTGCTTAGCACGCACTTTATTCAATGAGCTATCAATCATCTCTATTTTTAATACAAGATAAAAGATAAAATATAGTAATAATTTCAACATCATGAAATAATCAGAAAAGACCCCAGAAAGGTAAAGTGATATGGGATGAAAGAGAATGATAATTAGAAAAAAAAAACATGCAAACAAAATGGAATGAGATTTCCAGAAATTTAGAAGTAGAGGGAAAAAGCAACTCTCAAAACATACATTTGAGACTACAGAATAGTAACACTTGTGTTCCAGCTACTGGGCAGATGAGACATGCATTGTCAGATTCATAAAGTTTACCAAATAATGGTTGGTATAAATAAATGATGCATTCTAAGATGTT